ACTAGTGTGATACCACATGCATCAGTGGTTGAACATCAGCTATTCACAATAGACATCAACAACTTGGGTGAGGGAATCAAATGTAATATTTTCAATTTGCTGATGCCACAAAACTAGATGGGAGTGTGAGTGGTGAGGAGGACATTAAGAGGCTTCAGGACAATTTAGACAAGTTGCATATATACACAAATACATGACAAATGCAGTATAAGCGGGTAAATGTGATGTTGTCCACTTTGTTAGGAAAAATAGCATGGCACAGTATTATTTAAATGGTGATAGATTGGAAAAGATTGATGCATAAAGGGACCTGGCTGCCCTTCTACACTGGTCATTGAAAGCGAGCATGTAGGCGCAGTAAGTAATTAGGAAGACAAATGGTATGTTGGTTTTCATTACAAGAGGGTTTGCGTACAGGAACAAGGAAATCTAACTGCAGTTGTACAGGACCTTGGTGAGACCACACCTGGAGTATTGTTTGTGTGGTTTTCATCTCTGTACTTAAAAAATATACTCGCCATGGGACAGTGCTGCGAAGTTGCACCAGACTGATTCCTGGATGGCAGGGCATATAATATGAAGAGAAATTGGGTTGACTGGTCTAAATATCACTGGAGTTTAAAAAAATTAAAGGGGATCTAATTAAAATGTATAAAATTCTGGCAAGTCCATACAGGTTGGATGCAGGGTTGACGGTTCCCTGGCCAGGGATTGCAGAACAAGGATATGGTCTCAGGATACAAGATTGGCCATTGTGATGAAGAGAAATTTCTTCACTGACCGGTAAAGCTGTGGAATTCTCTACTAGAGAAGGCAATAGAGGTGAAATCATTGAAAATACTTAAAAAGGAAATAGATTTCCAGCAGCTAAGGGTGTCAACAAGGGCAGTTGTATGGGGTGAGAGCAGGATTGTGGCATTGAGATAGATGATTAGCCATGATCATGTTGAATGGTGGACTAGTCTCAGCGGCCAAATGACCTACTTGTGCTCCAATTTTCCATATTTCTATTGTGAAACAACTCTCTACAATGATCTCTGCTCTCTTTTTCTGATGCCAGAGTAACATCATCAATTACATTATCATTTACATATTCATTAGATTACAAATTATAATTCAGTTCTGCCAACATAACGTGGAGTGGGTGAAAAGTTAATTTAAAATAAAGACTTGGTCAAAGGCACTTCAAGTACTTTGGTTACAATTTATATAAGGCTGTAAACATGTATTGAAAGCCATACCAAAGAAATAGTGGTGTTATCCTAGGAAAGTCAAAACTCTATATTCCTGGAATGAAAAAAAAAGGCTAGAGAAAATCAGCAGGTCTGGCTGCATATCTGGAGAGACTATGGTCTAAGATCTTTCTGCCAAAGTATAACAGGGGTCTGTTCAATTGTCAGAAATCCTTGTTGCCTCAAAATGTAAATATTTTCTTTCTACGATTAAAAAAGCCATTGTTCAATGGGATGTAAAATTCCAATGTATCATTTGTGTTTCTTTTCCCTCATTGAAAAGATTGTACAGAACAGAATGAGAATGTTTTTGTAAGCAATTATAGATTGTTTTATGAATAAAGTACATTTTTGCCATTAAAAAATGTGGCGAGAGAAACAAAGTTAACATTTCAAGTCCAGTAAAACTGCTCTTCAAAACTGAAAGGAGCTGGAAGATGGTGTATTTTGTCCAGTTGACAGAGGGGGAGAGGGAGCAAGTGGAACAGATTTAGAGGTGCCTAGAGCATCCACAACAGTTTGCCTTTCATAGAATCATAGGGTTAAAGCTAAACAAAATAATTCATTCTTCAGCTCTACTGCCCTTTATCCACCCTGTAAATCGATTAGTTGGAAACACTGGTGATTTAGTGGTATTGGGTAAAACACAAAAGTAATGATAATGGTGATAACAGTGATATATATGTAAAATAAGTGTAAATATTAGGTGTGAGAAAGAGAAAATGGTCCACTGTGCTGAGACCAAAGACACAAGACTTAGCCAGCAGAGAATGGGGGGATGTAAGAAAAAGAAGCAGAGGTCAGACTCTAAAGTTGTGGAGCACAATGTTGAGTCTTAGTTGTTGAAAATTACCTAGGCGGTAATGAGGTGCTGTTCCTCCAGGTTGTGTTGAGCTTCACTGGAATTCTGCAGCAGGCCAAGAACAGAAATGTTAATGTGGGAGAAAGATGGTTTATTTGAATAGCATGCAACTGACGGTCAGGGTCATTCCTACGGACATGATGGAGGTGTTCCACAAAGTGGTCACCCAATCTATGTTAGTTCTTATCAACATAAAGCATTGTGAGCAACAGACAGGTGGACTAGATTGGAAGAAGTACAAGTAAACTGCTGCTGTGTTTGGGGCCTTGGATGGTGAGAAAGGAGAAAGTAAATGGGCAGATGTTACACTGTATGCAATTGCATGGATGGTGCCATGGGTAATTCTGTTTCAAAGCTTATCACAACTGATAAAATCTCAACATTAAGCTGTTTCAGGCATGCTGAGAATTTTAAGACGATAAAAATTAGAACAGAAGTAACTTGCCAATAAGTAACAGAAGGGTCTAGGCCTGAAACGTCAGCTTTCCTGCTCCTCTGATGCTGCTTGGCCTGCCGTGTTCATCCAGCTCTACACCTTGTTATCGCAGATCCTCCAGCATCTGCAGTTCCTACTATCACAGAAGTAACTTGTTTGGCCCCTGGAGCCTGCTCTGCCATTCAATAGGGTCATGCCCGGTCTAACATTCCACATGTCCATTTCATGTCTTTCCCTTGTAAATCTCAGCTTTAAATACACAGAAGAACTCTGTCTCCACAGCTCCCTTATGGCAAGAAGTTCCAAAGATTCACACCTTCTGAAATGAAATTCCTCTTCATATCTCAGTTTTAAAAAGAGAAACAGAAAAAGGTGCTACAATTTATTTCAGCTTTCCAGCATCTGCAGCAGTTTGCCTTCGATAAGCTAATTAATTCCATCAGTAGAAGGAAAATATATGCGTCTTAAATAATGCAATCAAATTTGTTACAATCTATCAAAATGAATGTTATGTGTTTGTATTGACCTGTTTAAACTCCATTTTTATAAATCATACATAATAATTGTAAAACATTCAAAGAAAATGAAAACAAACATAATTTTTAAAGTAATGCTCTTTTGGTTTTCTCCTAGGTTGGTCCCAGTAATTTCCTGGGGATAGGCAGGTGGAGTAGCAGCGCTTTATGCGGGCTCTTGCCCGGGGCTCATCCGCTCCCATTTGCTTTCTTTCTTTTCACTTCTGCTCTTTATCGTTTTTTTTGGTGAGTTAGTCGGCAGCATCAGCACGGCAGCGAGAGCGGGCCATGCGCGGAATGCTGGCAGTCTCCCAGCAGTCGGAGGCGGCAGCGGGTAACGCAGCTCCTCCTGGCGATTGAAGGTGGTGGCAGCGGCAGTAAGGATGTTCAACACAATGACAACAACATAGTAAGGATAACAAGGTGTAGAGCTGGATGAACACAGCAGGCCAAGCAGCACCAGAGGAGCAGGAAGGCTGACGTTTCGGGCCTAGACCCTTCTTCAGAAAAAGACCCTTCTTCCTACTATCTCTGAAACATAGTAAGGATGTTCTCCCGGCGTTTAGGGCCAGCAGCAGCGGCAGTGGCAGCGGCAACAAATCTCCTCCAGCATTGGTCGCAGTGGTAGTAGACTCTTCAAGGTAGCACCATCAAGGCGAAATGTTGGAGTGTGGCCAGAGCAGGACTCTAGGCGCAGTGATATAAGGAACTGCCGATGCTGGAGAATCTGAGATAACAAGGTGTAGATCTGGATGAACACAGCAGGCCAAGCAGCATCAGAGGAAAAAAAATGTTTTCTGAAGAAGGGTCCAGACCCGAAACGTCAGCTTTCCTGCTCCTCTGATGCTGCTTGGCCTGCTGTGTTCATCCAGCTCGACACTATGTTAACTCTAGGCGCAGTGATGGGTTGGCGGTGGAGCCAGGGATTAATGGTTGCAGTAGGGCCAGAGCGGGCACTCCTGGCACTAGTCAGGTGGCGGCAACATGGTATGCACAGAGCGGGGACTCCTGGCGTCATCAAGGCAGCAGCGGAGACGGGGACTCGTAGTTGTGGGGCAAGTGTGGGTTCAGCATGGGCTCGGCAGCAGCCAGGTGGGACCAGTTGCAAAGAGAATGGTGCCTAAGAAGTGATGACTCCTATGTTGGTGGGTCCAGCGCAGGTGATGCCGGTGTCGATGGTAAGCCGACTCAGGACTAATGGCAGAGGTGGCAGAATGAAGATAGACTCTCTTTCAGTTACATCTTTTTACTTTTTTTATTCTTAAACTATTAAAAATGGCGCTGAATTCTGGAAACAATTGAAGCTTTTCACTGTTTTTTACTGTATTACTTACTGTAATATGCAAGTGACAATAAATCATTCAATTTCTGGATCCAGTAGGTTAGATGTATAAATGAAGTGCGAGCTAAAACCTGGAACACACAAAGAATTTCCCTCACCTTTAGTGTCATTGCACTGTTTTTATCGGCCCAACTAAAGGATCGATTAATTGGAAACACTGGCGATTTAGTGACGGTGGATAACAGGTGAGAAGTAACACGAGAGATTTGAAGGTCGGGAACGAAAAACCATTCAGTTGTGCCTAGATGTAAAAGATAAACGAAGAACTCCGGATGCTGGAAATCTGAAACAAAAGCAGTGTACTAGACAACACAGCAGGCTGGCAATATCTGTTGTGCGGAAAGCAGAGAGTACTGTACATGTTTGGGGTCCAGTGACGAAAGGTCACTGGAGTCGAAATGTTAACTGTATTCACAGACGCTGCCAGGCCTATAGAGTTGCACTAGCACTCTGTTTCTGCATTAAAATCGGTGCCCATCTTAAAGGCTTTACAAGCTAGAAACTTATAGCGGCATCTTATAGTAATTCAAAGCACTGCCTCAATTTACTTTTGCAGTGTTTTAAACTTAAACTGACATCTGATCGCTATCTAGTCAAATAGTCGACTCTAAAATGTACCGCAAAAAGCGGATGTCCGGTTGACTAGCGGAAGTTGTCTACACATTTGTCCTGTCCTCGGTGGCTTGAGCTTGTTCGTTGTTATGTCGAATCCTTCTCCGAAAGTAAAACCGTCTGCGGCGGCTAACCCGCGAGTCTACCTGGATGTCAGCATCACGGGGGAGAGAGGTAAGGCGGCTCGCGCTGCCCGCCAACCACCTGAGAGCGCGGGCTTCGATTGGCGCGTTCCAACCGTCTGCTCACTTCTGTCTGTCTTGTCGAGATCTTCACTGGAATTGCATCTTCTCACGCCTAATCCTTCACACAAAAGTCATTCACGTTTCACTAATCTTGTACGGTAGAGTTTCCAGAACATCCTTAACCACGGAAGTTTCCAAAACATCCTTAAGCCTGCAAGTTTCCAGAACATTCTTGACCATGGAAGCTTCTGGAATCATCACAATTTTTTTTAGAGTCCAGACAGCTTTAGCTATACCTTTTGATCGGTTGCTTATAACTAACTTATTCTAAAAGTGTGCTTTCCCCAACCGCTGGACCAGTTAGTTTGCGTGGTTATTGTCGGGAACTCGAGTATAGTACTGTAACAAGAATCACGATGCCTCCCTGATTTCCCCTGCACGCGTGTTTTGTGAGCGTATTGTGAATAATATGAGACAACAAGGTGCAGGGCTGGATGAACACAGCAGGCCAAGCAGCA